TTTTAGATTTCTAATGTCTCATCCGTCTATAAGTGTGTTGAATTCTAAAATAAACCCATTTTTTTAAACGGGTCAAGTGATGTGAACTGAATTAGTTGTCTATGTTACAGCTACATCTGCTGATTATTCTATTTACTCAATTAATTAGAAAAGCACATCTAAGCTCATTTGTGATGAACATGGTTATGGTACTTATTTGAAAAATTGATAATAAAATTGTCAATTATAGGTATAATTCTAACTTCTCCATTATTTCATACACATAGTTCCCTTTATCATTTTGAAAAGAGGAAGAACAAAAGGATTCTAGTAGAATGGCATGAATTCATTTTTATTCCATTTGATTCTTATCAGTTGCTTACAACCTGTACTATTTAGAAATCATAATTACATAATGAGTGTAAATGACTTACATGAAAGAGTTTGGTTGGAAATTATATTGAAGACATATTCGTATAGTATAGCAAGGGTGTAAATATAATTAATAGACTGAATGTCGTAAATATACATCTTATGTGAAAGAACAACATTCTACCACATTGATTGTGACAACAGTTCAAACGGCCAGAATACAAGTGATTACATAATGAGTAAACGTTGATAGAAGTATAGCGAGTAGAGCTCAGTTGATAGGATAAGATTATTAACTTGGAAGATAGTTGAAATCAAACTCGATGTTGTAATAAATGCAAGAAAGAGTTTAGAGAAAAAAATATCAAGATACAGCGAAGGAATATTAGTCACCAAGGCAAGGAAAGATTTAATAACCATCTCCTTTTGAACACATAAATCAAGTTTTTGATGACTGATAGCAACGGTGTCAGTAAACTTCAGAAGACTAGAGTTTGGCTACTTACTAATCACCTTAAAGGATTGCAAGGTATCTATTTAATTGATGTCCTGTATCAAAGAGATGTTTGGTGATTGCACTATTTACAGTATTTCTTCTTCTTGTTTCTAGACTCTTCATTATTAGATCATAGATTAATCGTCTATAGTTTTTGGCACAACAACAACAACAATAATAATATCAGTATAATCTTAAATTCAATATTTACATAACTACTCATTTCTTATTATAATAAGTAATATATTGCATGTATCGTTGTTTATTTTTCTCTTTTATTTCCCTCAATATAGCTGTTCTATCCAATCAAAATAAACGAGATTATTTATTTTTACGTGGCTAATTCCTTTTTTTGGGGGGCAACATTTTGATCAAATAGAAGAAAACTATGATAGAGTTAATCAGAAAGAAAAAAGTAAAAAAAAAACAGACGATAAATGTATTTTAGAAATAAACAAAAATAAATAAATGTTACTTGTTATTAGTTTATTGAGTTAAATATAAATTTATCCATGATGAGTTCCTCGTTTGTGTTGTTTCTTTTTGTTGCTGTCTTTTGATGACTTCATCTTATGCTTAAGAATAGAATGTTTGTATAGTAACATTGGGGAAGATGATAAAGTTATGGACGAACCAATCACATATAAGATATTTCATACACATAGTTCCCTTTATCATTTTGAAAAGAGCAAGAACTGAAAGATTCTAGCAGAATAACATGAATTCATTTTATTTCGTCTAGGTCTAATGATGTGTTAAAACAATCAAGAAAACAGATTTGTTGAAATATCCAGATGACTGGAGTAGACAGCCCAAATAATCAAAGAGTCATTTACTTCAAATGTTTAAAATCTGATAACTAGCATTAAAATGAAACTTAATAACATGACTGACGTTTCGTGACTACTTGGCACATTACATTATACTTATTGATGGAAAGTTAGTTGAATGAATGAGTTATTGGCTGTGAGATATTCACCAACCGTAGATATAGATCATGTGAGTCACTCACATCAATTTGAGAGTTTGAATTGTTCTTGAAATAATCGATCGTTTCATTCACACGAAATCACTCTCATCAAAAATTTTATAACTTTAAGGATTTTATAGCAACTATCCTACAACCAACTTGGTCAATCAACTTCATAGACTGTTATAAGAAGTTCCATACATTTAACATGTCATTCCCCACATTCACGTTTCTACTTCTCCTATTCACCTAAAACCCATTCATTTCGCCATAAAACTGAATCAATGTTTGACAATTTGTATTGTACCAACTATCCTACAAAAACAATTTCGATTATGGTTCATTTCGGTTAAGTCCTCTTACTAACTTACTTAACAGACAATGTTATTTCAACAATAACAATTCACATAATTCTTTGTACCGTTATGGTCACTAGATCGCATGACAGACTCTAACTAGAATGTTGATTGTTTAACTATCATTCAATGATTCATTCTCCTCCATATGTATATATGTAATCAAATCCTATTGTTAGTCTGCTTTGCCATGCTGCACCCTTATGTAATTTGACTATCAATTTGCCTATATAGTTACTCTCATATACTTATTCACCTCTCCACTTCAAATTTGTTTGATATGTTTATAGCTTTATGACCTGCGCTATCCTTTTATAAACTGTAGTTCTCGCTTCTCATTGCCTTTTGATTTCAAACACCTTTGAGATTTATATAATAACGGTTAACAAAGTGATCGAATAACGAAGAATCAGAAATCCTTTATAATTGTATTAATGACAACCTTAAATTGAAACCTTACAAACTATTAGCTTCGATTCAAATCGTATTTGTTAATTTCTAGTCATTTTCTATACCACCATATCATCCACCATAATTCGTCCAAATTTAGGAATATTCTAGTAACTAAGTAGTTACATAATAATATACCTTTGTGGGCCAGGGTAATTTTACATTGGTTTTCAGGAGAACCAGACACCATCCGGACTTTCACGTGATAAACCAAACAGTAAGGCTCACCCCCGCTTAGCAGAGGAACCAGACACCATATAGGCTTTAACGCTACAATCTGGATAGTACAGCTCATTCCTGTGGTGCAACCACAGAGGTACCAAGCACCCTGGTGAACAAAACTTAAATTACCCATAAATATTTCTTTATAACACTTAATGAAGTCACAGAATAAGATTTTTAGTTTGTTTGTTGATTAGATTGAAATTGTCTACTTAAAATGTTTATGAAAAAGGGATGAACTTAAGATTAAGAAAGAAAGAAAAAAAGAATCACGGAAATCCTTTTTTGAAACTTGATTAAAGTAAAGAATATACAAGATTACTGTAGGTCTGACACATTTCAACGGAATAAATCATCGTCTAACTGACATAAGAAACAAAAAAATTGCATGTTCAAGAGCAGATGTTTTTGTTTTTACTTTGTACTACAAGATCATTATCATGAAAAAGAAGTATCACTTTAACCTTTTATTCATGGAGATATAAATAAATCTGGAAATTTTACAAAGATTTTGTATTTTGATTGAGATCATGAATCGATTGAAGTTAGAGTACCATGGATAACTTGGAAGTACTGGATGGGTGTTTCATTACACTATGGAACTTCTCACCAGTACATGTCTACAATTTGTCTCGCAGGATTTGGACACAAAATCTTGTAGTCTTTTGAGTGGAAATTCTAATTCTGATATTGTTATACTGTAAGGGAAACTCTAGAAAGTTTGATTGAAAGTGCCAAGTATCACTTCATAATCTTAAATTTGTTTGCTTCAGATTCAAGGAAATTTTTGTATAAAAATATAAACTTGAATTTCTGTAAACTAAGAAATTCACTAAAAACTAGTATAATAAGAACAAATTGACGCTAAAGTTTGTTTTAACGTAGTCCAGTTTTTGTTTATTTGAAGGAAGAAGAATGTGATACTTCTTGTTGACCTATTGAGGTCGTAAGTTACCTTCTGTAAGACTGAGAAGCATAAATGATTTATTTACTTTGTAATCTACTATATTTTGGCTATTCCAAGTTTATTGATTGACTCTCTATCCACTGACAGAATGCTTTGTTAAGTGCTAAAAGATTCTTCGTAATCGGTAAACTTGAATAATTTGATCACACTGATACTTAAAACTAGAGAAAATCACAGTGGTTACTGCTTGGTGATCAGCTACTCTAATACATATTAAGTATATAGTTTCAAATTTTCAGCCACTTCTCATTTTATCGTAAATGAGATCATTTGATTTGACTAATGTCATATTTAAAAAGAATTTACGGTACAATATTAGCATCCAAATGTTTACTTTTAAACGTTTTATAGTTGAATTCATAAGACAATGAAAGCTAGACCACCATAGAAAACCTGGAAGCAGTGGACAGCCGTTTCTTCCTAGTATGGAACTCCTCAGCAGTACGCATCCACGATCTCTCTCTCCGGATTCGAACCAAAGGCCTATCAGTCTCGCGCGTGAACGCTTACCCTCTAGACCACTAAAAGACAATCAATTTTCAATTTTTTTATGAATTCAAAAATATTCAATAAATGATGATTGTTTATTTAAACAAATCACTCTCACAAAGATAACCCCTATAAAGTGAAACATTTAAGAAACATAAAATGATAGTTACTAAGCTGAAATTTCAAATGAAATGATTGTTTAAATAATATACATAAATATTTATATGATAATGTTAAATCAATCAAGGCAATTTGAGTCCATCATCTCAAATATAATAGATTACGTCACTGAACATAATATGTAGAAACATAAATTGATAATAGTAATAATAGTAATAATAATAATAATAATAATAATAATAATAATAATAATAGTAGTAGTAGTAGTAGTAGTAGTAGGAGGAGGAGGAGGAGGAGGAGGAGGAGGAGGATGTGGTGGAGGAGGTGGAGGAGGAGGAGGATAGATGTACGGATAGTAAGTTAGTATAATAAAGTACAATAGCCAAACTTTTTATCAATAATAGTTCAACATAGGGAATAGCAGATCAAACATACATGTGATATTCTCATTTACCATATACATATATATATTCAAACTTACAAGTAGTATTGTGATTATTCAATGTATAAAAATGAAACTTTATTTAAGTAGTAAATAATATTTAAGTTCAAAATAAATTTCATCTAGTACACATGATTTTATAGATAATGTAAAATTTTCTTATGACGGTTAAGTTTTCGACGATGTTTGTTACGTTTATGTTTACCATTACGTTTGGATTTTTTCCAAACACCAAATCTTACTGGACTTATCATCAATGATTGTGATTCATTATCATGCTGAACTTGTTTCTTCCATAGATTGTTTTGTTCGTCAATTTCTTTCATTTTTAAATCAATATGATTCATAGATGATTGTTGAATTGTATAAGTCATTGTAGATTGTATAAAACAATTAAAATATAATGTACAACTTATATAGAATAATAATCTTAGATGGTTCATTGTCAAATTCAATATTTAGTTTCTATGGTCTATTTATATTCGTTATGGGTTATGATCATTAAACGTGATTCAAAAATTATTCAATATCTAAGGGGAATAATTAAATGACATAAAAGTACATATAAACACCTAAACTAATATCATTCAATTAGTTAGTTAGTTAGTTAGTTAATCAGTCAACTACACTGTAAGACTAGGCACATCTATCTATCTAGATATATATATACATTAGTCTAATCGTTTTAATATAACAATCTATTTATTGTTTATATTCATAATTGTAAATACATTTTTACTATTTTGTTTTTAAGAACAATTTTTTGATGAATAAAGTTGGCAATATTACTGATAGATGGGTTGATTGGAAACTAGTTCCTAGACCATCATTCATCCTATTCATTTCATATAAATTTTAAAGAATCATTCAAAATAATTATAATAAATAAGAACTTTTGTTTAAATTCGATCGAAATCGTTTCATAGTATATGGACTCCAATTGGATGTGAGACATTAAAGAGGAAAATCTCAGCGAATGAACTCCAAGTAAATCCAACGTTCCATTTTGGCATTTGAGTTCAGGCTTTTTCAAGGAGATATAGAATCCGATATCAAAATTATTGAATATAAATAAGGGTACATGGTACTCTGGTTCATTGTATCCTGAATAGATCATCCAATCAATGTTAACAATGTTTAAATTAGGTGTTTGCTTTAGTGTGTAAGAGATATGTGGTATGAAGCGAAGTGTTAAGATAACAGATTGTGTGTATAAGTAAGTAGTACTATAGCGTGGTGTCGAGTCACGGTTGACTATGAACACTACTACAGGGAAACGCGTACCAAACAAATCAGAAGGCGAAGGTGGGGCGTAACCAAGTTTATTTCGTTGGCGATCTCGTGGTATCGAACGAATACCGAGATCTTGCCAAAAGGAGTACAAGTGGACTTAGCGGGCAAGAGTACGAGGTCACAATCCGCGGAAAAGTAATGGAGAGTAATGGACTAGGAATATGGCTGTCTTTAGCACAGTTAAACAAACGAGCACAGTAAAACAATCACTGGTACAATTGATTATAATAATGATTGTTTCCATTAAATCAATCGCATTCTCTTGATAAAAGTAGGTCACTACAGTATAACCACCGAATTTTTTCTTAATGAAATTTCTTCTCATGTATATACACAATCTGTTATCTTAACATTTTCCATTTCACACGCTAAAGTGAACACTTTATTTAAACTTTGTTAACACTGATTAGATGACCTATTCAGGATACAATGAACCAGAGAACCATGAACTTATTTACATTCGATATTTTCTTGGAAAATGTTGGACCGAATTGCTAAGCGAAACGTTGGATTTACGTGAAATCCATTCGCTGAGATTTTTAAAAATACATTCTTCCTGGAAGCAGTGGACAGCTGTTTCCTCCTAGTATGGAACTCCTTAGCAGTCCGCATCCACGATCCCTTTCTCGGGATTTGAAGCAAAGACCTATCAGTCTCGTGCGTGAACGCTTACTAGGTCCGAGTCCCACAGTAAACATCAACTCTGAGATGCAGGTACATCCAGCTGACGAGTCCCAAATAGGATGAAACGCACGTCCCGGATTCCACTGCTAGACACTATCCATCATTGCTTACAAAAAGCTTGTGAATTAAGGTAATATCGAGGCATACACACAGTATGCACATATGCCAATAACAAACTGATCAATTGCAGTCTTAAACCTCAATGGGAAGATACAAGCCAAACAACACCAAGTACATTCTTCCTCTTTATTCATATGTATATATATTTGAAAATAATGATTACGGAATTCATGCCAGCTTACAGGCATGATCAGTTTCATATAAATAGTAACATTAGATATACAAAACAACCGTATGATATAAGACTGTTTTAACTATACTGATACAGTAATCGTTTAGGTAGTACATTTATGACAGCAATCTAATACATTAGCAGAGAACTTTTAATTTTTTTTAAGTGGACACAGCCTGTTGATGTTATGAATGGTGTAATTACGGTCAGTTCCTGTGCCAGAACAAATTAATGATAATTATCTACAACTAGAGAAAGTAAAACGAAAATAGAGAGCACGGAACAACAAAGCAATATCTATCAAAATAATGTTCATCAGGTCTGACACAATGCATGTGTCATGTGACATAGTCATATACTGTTAATGTTAGATATTATACAATTTAGTTAAGATTGCTAGGGACAATTTTAACATAAAGTGAGAGCAGGTAGGTGGTTTTACATAGCGAATTCATTAATCTCACTTGTGGAATAAGATATACTTACAGGTGGTAGGACATTTCATGCATTTTCAGAGAAGCAGTACGCATCCATGCAGCGAACAAAGAATGAGAGTGATTTTATCGTACAGATAGATTGTGGTAGATTATTTCAGAGTCTAGAAAATTTACAGCGAAAGTAATTCATACATGGAGATGATTTAGAATGAATTTGTTACACTAGTGACAAGTTATATCGTTTACATAAATCATCAGTTCATTGTGTTTTTTTTTCGTAAATACCAAGTCATAATTCTATGAAACATTTTGCTCTAATACTGTGTACTGTTACAGAGAACCAATTAAGTAGGAAAATTGATTATATAGATCGCTAAATTGTTTATTGATCTCCATCATAACGATATTTGGTAACAATCTATCTCATGCTGGATCTTATATGGAAACTTATGCGAAGTTCTCTATGAAGAAGAAAGATTTAAACGATTCTATAGGAGATAACAGTTTGTTACAAATAATATATTAGACCACTGAGCCGGCATCCAACGGTATTAATGTCTAACTTCAACCAATCCACGAAGTTGCGCCACCGAACACCATTGTCTTCAGTGAGCTGATATCTCACAACAGATCTGGTTGAACTCCACTGGTGACAGCTTCTCACTATAACTCCAGGAGGTTCTCCTCAGTGGTCTAATGGTTAAGTGCTCGCGCGCGAAGCCAGTAGGTCCTGGGTTCGAATCCCGCGGAGAGCGGGTTCGCGGATGCACACTGCTGAGGAGTCCCATACTAGGACGAAGTAGTGTATTGACTAAATATTGGTTAGTTTAGTTTCATCAAGATTTTATAGAGAGAATACAATCATTCATAAATAGAAGGAAATACGTATGTCGAACTCTTATATTAAATGATATCCTAACAACAATGGAGAAACTATAATTTATAGACGAATCAATCACGTATATGATAACAGGTCTCGGATTTTAGCGCGAAATTCATTCATACAATTGGCTAAATAGAGTTTTGACATTTTAGCTGAAGTCAGTTCGTGATGAATACCCTAAATCTAGTTTTTAACCCTAACCATCAACTGTAAATGAAAATTCTAATTGTCTTATAACCCTCATTTAGTCCTGGTTATTAAATGGACACTCTCAAGGTCATTCTGGCGTCTCTCAAAGGTCGTCTATCAATTATAGTCTTATTGAAAATGGTTTTTAAGGTAGCTGATATTGTAAAGGTTTCTTCACTGATGTTTATTCATAGTTGAGAAGCTTAAACAAAAATGACTGTTTTCAATTGATTTTATAACATGAATTCATGTACAAATATGAGAATTACAACAGCTAATTCCAAAAATTACGACAAATTGTCAAGACAAAGAATAAAATAAATAAATAAATAATTTACACAATGATAACAAGACTTATCAGTGAAGATATTTTAATGAACAGGTTCAAGTTTGTCTAACAATGTGAATTGTGTATGAGATTTAATAAAAGCACCTGATCCTCATAGTAAATTTAAATTTAGCTGTGATGATAATCCCATTGTATTATTTTATAACGTAATAATTGAACTCATCAGTCAGTTGACGCTAGACCATCATGGAAAACCTGAAAACACTGAACGGCCGTTTAGTCCGAGTATGAGACTTCTCAGCAGTGTTCATCCACGATCCTGCCTCGCGAGATTCAAACTCAGGACCAATCAGTTTTGTGCGCGAACGCTTAACCTCTAGACCACTGAGTTGGCGGGCATCCAACGGTATTGATGTCTAACTTCAGCCAATCCACAAAGTTGCACCACTGTCCATCATTGTCATCAGTGAGTTACTATAACACAACAGATCCGATTGAATTCTACCGTCCAATGCTTCCAGATTTCCTATGGTGGTCTAGCTTCAATTGACTGATTAATTCAACTATTAAACCTTAACATTATCATATTGTTTAAATGATTAGTCAAAAGGTCCAAAAGACAAACTCTTAGTCATATTTCTCTCATACTATTAGAACCAGTTTTTAATAAGCTCTTGTATGATTGTTAAAAATGATCACTGATTATCATTAATTTACGTAAAGTTTAACAGTGAAATACAAAGAACCTGATCCAAAAAAATCACCCCTTTATAATAAAAATAGTGAAATCTAAATAGAGAGGGAATAAAATGTAGAGGCTACATAACATGTGTCATAAAAAGCTTCATTTAAGTATAGAAACTAAAGAAAGAACTAAACTATTGATTTCCATGAGTTTAGGTCACTAAGATAAACGAGGAGACACTATTAATATTGATCGGTATCTAAGTTGAAAAGATAGGTTAAATGACTTGTACACAATAATACTTTCATTATCCTAGTAGCATGCAAGCACGAAAAGTGAAAACTGGACATTGAAAAAGAGTTTTCTTGTTTTTAGGAAAGAGAATGAAATGAGCAAACATATGGATCACAGATCCACTTTTTTTGACTTGATTTTTTTCTCAGTCACTAATACCAACTAGTTAATACAAACTTCTCCTTATTGGATGCTGTCTCGATCACAAATGTTGTACTACAAAGTAGTGTTTTGAATCCTTTTTTCTTCATAGTCCAGATAAATAATATTTAAAGTTGTTTTGCACAAGAAACTCTTTTCTGTATGGAAATGATCCTAAGGTGGTGTAATCATTTTCTCCGTATGAATTGAATCAAATACAAATCCGTGTTAGTATGGAGCTCAGCTAGGTCACCGTGTAGTGCGCAAAATTGAAGTCGGATCTTTACAGTGAGAAATTCGGATGGATTCTTTTTGGTGAACATTTTCCAAATTTCAATTTTTCTATTAACGATAAGGTGTTATTTAGGTTTAAAGCAGTAGTGAACTTGTGAACTTTTCTTTCTCATAACACGTTTCAATACAGATTACTAGGTTTCGGTGACTTCTTGGTTATATTTTAATGTGTAAATTTTGTCTAACCAATCCTAGAATACTAAACGTTTATTGCGAGTAATGTTCCCAGAAAGAATAAAATTATGTCGGAATCGGACCAGCAGCAATCCACACCGCGTACTCTTATCAACTATTGTGCGTTAAATTAAAAATTCAGATGCATTACACTTGGATTCAATTCCTTATGGCAGCGCAGACTTCGAATAAAATTAAAATTTCCCTTCAAAACGCTTAGTGAGTTATCTTTTAGATCCATTGCTTCAATCCAGTATGCAATAACACATAAGTATAGTATTCGTAACTCTATACCGAAAGTAAAATTGTCGTATTCTGGATATCTATTCCATGCGAATTACTTTGCAATTAACTTTGTGACTCTTTGAGATAGTTTACCACAATCTGATCGTGAAATAAAATCACTACTATCATTTGTTCGCTACAGTGACGGTTAGCTGTCCACAGAAACCAACTTTAAAAGATTTTATGGCAACTATCCTACAACCAACTTGGTCAATCAACTTCATAGACTGTTATAAGAAGTTCCATACATTTAACATGTCATTCCCCACATTCACGTTTCTACTTCTCCTATTCACCTAAAACCCATTCATTTCGCCATAAAACTGAATCAATGTTTGACAATTTGTATTGTACCAACTATCCTACAAAAACAATTTCGATTATGGTTCATTTCGGTTAAGTCCTCTTACTAACTTACTTAACAGACAATGTTATTTCAACAATAACAATTCACATAATTCTTTGTACCGTTATGGTCACTAGATCGCATGACAGACTCTAACTAGAATGTTGATTGTTTAACTATCATTCAATGATTCATTCTCCTCCATATGTATATATGTAATCAAATCCTATTGTTAGTCTGCTTTGCCATGCTGCACCCTTATGTAATTTGACTATCAATTTGCCTATATAGTTACTCTCATATACTTATTCACCTCTCCACTTCAAATTTGTTTGATATGTTTATAGCTTTATGACCTGCGCTATCCTTTTATAAACTGTAGTTCTCGCTTCTCATTGCCTTTTGATTTCAAACACCTTTGAGATTTATATAATAACGGTTACGAAGGTGATTGATCAACGGAGTAAAGTCACTACAGTTTTAAGAATATATGCTTAAACTATTATAAGACGTATACTTATCTATTATTTGATCAGATTGATTTTGTCGATCCTCTTAAGAGTTCTGTTCTATTCATCAAACATTTATTTGGTTCGTTACAAAATACATTCATGCTGCTTTCAGTAGTTACATAGAACTTATTTAATATCAAAGAGTAAAAACATTATAATCCTTCAGTTTTAGATCTGATACTAACAAGTCATATTCACTTGCTAAAAAAAGACATAATTATCGATTTTCGACCAATTATAGGGTCAAATGTCTGTCGAAGTCAACTGGAGAGTGGTAATAATCAGAAAGTTAAATGATCTAATTATGTAAACTTTTATATTTTTTGTGGATGACTTTATCGTGGTTTTACTACATGTTCTTGGCGGACAGAATGTCAATACACGGAAGATATGGATCACTGTTCAGTGAATAATTTGTATGGTAAAGTTTTTGCTTCAGTCTTATAGAAAACGTTTACGCATATAACATGTTAAACTGACATTGATGTACATTGAATCGAGACTACTAAGCTTAGTTGATAAGATATTACTTATGTAAATGATTAAAGCTTACCAATCAACGAATGACAAATGGTAAAATATACAGAGATGTTCAAAAGTTCTTTCCTATGAGATTAATAATACTATACTCTCAACATTAACGTTTAAAGATTATGTACTTACTTTATTGATAAATTCCTTGAATATACCATTTGGTCGAACGAAAGTAATGAACTCCGTCAATTATTATGCCATAAATTTTTAAATATTCGAAATCTTCAAATCTAAATAAGCCATTTGTTCAAAACTCGTAACAGAATAAAATTACTTTAAACTCCCTATTTTTCAACACTTTTAACAATCGCTTAATACAGTTGCTGTCATCCCTAGTGCGGGATCGTGGATGCGCACTGTTGAGGAGTTCCATAATAGGACGAAACAGCCATCCAGTGTTTCCAGGTTTTCCTTGATGGTCTAGCTTCAATTGACACATGATCTCAACTATTGAAATTACTATAATATCCACCAGACCCTTTTTGATACTAATCAACATATGCTCATTAGTGACTGGCATCAAGAGCTATTTTTTAGAGTTCTTGTGGGTAGCAGGGACCAGTGGATTTCAACCGTGTCTGTTGTGAGATAGTAACTCACTGAAGACAATAGTGGGTATGTCACACAATTTCGTAAATTATTTGAAGTTAGACATTAACACCGTTAGATAATGGCCAGCTCAATGGTCCAGATGTTAAGCGTTCACGCGCGAAACCAATAAGTCCTGAATTCGTATCTCGCGAGTCGGAATCGCGGATGCGTACTGTTGAGGAGTCTCATTCTAGGACGAAACAGCCATCTAGTGTTTCTAGGTTTTCCTTGATGGTCTAGCTTTAATTGGCTCATGAATTCAACTAATAACATTGTATAATTAGATGTTCCCAAAGGTTATTCATAAAATTTGTTTACCTAGGCTACTAGAACAGTTTGTATGAAAAAGATTAAAAAATGATTAAAATAAAGCCATGCCAACTTATTAAGATTTATTCAAGTAAATTCACGAATACATAGAAACAATTAAATAGGGATAATTAAAAAGGTTGTCATATCATATTTCATAGAGTAATGTAGATGTGAAATTTCCTTTGACGGTTTTCATACAAGAAATAAATTTGTAATAGAACAAAGTTCATTAATATAACTCACCAATTTGATTGATAAACACTCAGAAAGTTCATCGTTTTAATCAATAAAAAATCGATAAGGGGGGTGTTTAAATGATTCAACCTTATGATTATGGAAAATAACCATATCCATATCGAGGACGATAATGTCGACGGTACAATCTTCTTTGAAGTCTCATCATTCTAAGTTGTGCTCTCATCATACGTTTTTGATGTCTAAAATAACGTCGTAGACGACTAAATCTCATTGGGGCTACAATTAATTGATCAGGTTCTACTTTAATCTTTTCATTATTCAATAAATTAATTTGTTCAGCTTCTTTAACTTTGGAGAATATTTTCTCAATGGATGGATAATCATTCGTTTGTCTATTTAACTCATGTATTTCATTTACTGATACAAATGAAGGAATAAAAGTAATGAAACTTAGTATGAGTATAAAGTATTCCTTGGAATGTAATACAGATAACCATGTTATTTGATTCATAATGTCCGGCAAATCAAGTTTAAAAAATGGTATTGTGACTTATCCAGTATTTTAGTGTTTATATTATAAGGCATATACGAATGATGATTAGTTCAATAGTAATAGTTAATGGAAATGTATTATATTCACCATTGTCATGTATTGTACATTTAACAAATTAATAAATCCACCTTTGAACGAATATAATGTAGAGATACACACATATTGAAGTGTTAGTTACTATGCCAAACCCATATAACTTATTCTAGTTTCCGGACAAGTTAATTTATCCATCCATCCTGGAGTCACATTTTGACCTTGTTAATTAGTCGCTCATCAACTTAGGCTGTTTTTATATAAGAGTACGTGTGTGTGTGCACTTCTTATTTTATTCATCAAATGTCTGTAGCTTATTTTTTGTTAGGCTATAAGTGTCCATTATTGCATGATTAAATCGGGTTGGCTCACACGCCTTCTGCACAGCGCCTCATTTTGCTTCACTCTCTTGTCTTCGCTTCATTCCTCTGATTGTCTTTCTTGACCAATGATTGTACAAGATTTATGTATTCAAAAATCCATTCACGTATTCGACTTATTTACTTCTGTTATTCACTAACGCTATTTAAGTCGATGATTTTCTATGAGAATAGTCAGGATGTATATTCCGACAGCAATCATTCAATAATGATCACTTTTCCGATCTTACTGGAGTCTCAGATCCCAGGCCACTTAAGTGGTTAGCCAGTCGATAACATAATACGACCTAATTATCGTCAAAATAAAGGGCCTCACAACAGAAAAGTAATCTAAAATACTAGTATATTAAGATTCCACCTCATTATCATGTGATATTTAATATGACTTATCGACTTAATAATAAAATACCATTTGATGAGGTTTTGTTCTCTGAGCTGGATGGTTTGATACCTAAAGTTTGTGCTAATGATGTCGTTCACAAGAATGATGAAAGACCCACGACCAAATCCTTCAGCTCAGAGAACAAAACTCCATCGAAATCATCCACCTGAATTACGAATCTTCACCATTTCAATAAAATATCATGTTTTCACAATGTAGACACATTGGAAATTTGACGTTTCATAGATTTATTTAAATATAATAGTTGTACATTTAATTTTGATTGCAAACATTTTAATTAGGACAAATTTAAGCTTTAATGATGAACATAGAAAACGTCATATAAGTCATTCATTGTTCTACGTTTATTTATTGGTAATACAAATGAATAAATCCTTCGGGAGCCCCTCTTGAACCACTAGCGGTCCCAAGCCCGAATAAAGTAGGAAGGTTGGGCATGAGGTTAGCGACCACAAAATGTAGAAAACTAACTCGCTAAAAAAGCGCTAAACAGGAAGAACAATTCAAACTATTTTAACTCTGCCTTGGGAGTTAGAAGCTCTTCATTTAGAAGAGTTATGACGTCAGTACAAATTAATAGTTCTGTTTAGTTGTGTTTATAAATAAGGAAGATATGAAGCGTATACATTTCTAAATTAACTCTGATAAAAGCTTCGATAGTTTTAAACATCATGTATTATTTCTTAAATCTAATCTCGGTGAAACTATAATTTATGGACGACCTATGAGCGACGCCAGACTGACCTTGAAAGTGCCTACCTGATAACCAGAACCAAACGAGGGTGATAAACTTGTGTGAGGAATTAGAACTATGATTTACAGATGATGGTTAGGGTTAGGAATTAGATTTAGGGTTTTCATCACGAACTGACATCAGTCATAATGCCATGAATCTATTTAGCCAAAATCCGAGACCTGTTATCTTATATGTGATTGGTTCGTCCATAAATTATAGTCTCGCCCTAATCTATTCTTCATCATTGTCCCACTGAAGACATAAAAATGGAAATACACTCAAAAATTTTGGCTCATACGAATTATATGTGCATGTTGCTATGCATTTGGAATATTAAATAATACTAGATGTAACTATTCAATTGATATCTGAGAATAGTCTAATTTATATTCAACACTTTAAAATAAAATTCTACTCAGAAATGTGATACATTTTTGAAGTAACGAGAATGGAAGTGATCTAATCTCATCATTTCATGATCGTTTCTTTTTATCTAACTTGGTATATTATATTCTTTCAATGTACATATCGTTTTTTTCGCTTACAATGTAAATAGTAGCTCGGGAAAGGACCTGACCAAACGGATGGGAGATCTAAACTCATGTGATGACATGGACTGCCTGAGATAAAGGGACGAGAATGGTGACAGATTTTCAAACTTATGTGCATTCAATAAAATGGTTGTATGTGGCTCAATATTTCCATATAAATACATATACAAATTACATGGGTCTCACCGGATCATATGACAGAGAACCAGATCGATCATATTTATATCATTAAAAATTCCGAAGCTCACTGGAACATGTGAGAACCAGGAGAGGAGCTGACATAACTTCGGATCATCGCCTGATCAAGATGAAACTAAAACTAGATAAGCATTGGACAACTGGGGAAACAGCATTACGAAGGTGCAGTATACCTTTCCTTCGAGATAATGATAAACTCAACGAATTCAGTATAGTTCTCAGCAATAGGTTCTAAGCCTTACGAGATCTACTCAAAGTAGAAGAAACCACTATGGAAGACAATTGGAAAGGGATCATAGAAGCACCAACTTCAACGTGTCAGTAATTTCTGGGCTGCATGAAGTATCATCATAAGGAATGGATCTATACGGAAATCCTGGATATGATTCAAGAAAGGAAGAACGCGAGAACCGTAATTAACAACAGTCGAACAAGAACAGAGAAATTAAATGCACAGACTCAATACGCATAGCAAACAAGCAAGTGAAGAAGAGGATTAGAGCCGACAAGCAGAAATACGTGGGAGAGCTATCAACGATAGTGGAAAAAGCTTGAAGGGAACGAAATATGGGACAACTATATGACACAACGAAGAAATTAGTGGTGGAATATGGTAAATCAGGGAGACCAGTCAAGGACAAAGAAAGCAAGCCAATAACCGAGATTCAAGAGCAGTGCAACAGATGGATAGTACAATTTGGAGAACTCTGGAATAAACCAGCTCCATTGAATTAACTGGACATCGAAGGGGCTCCTACAGACCTTCCTATAGATGCGCACTCGATCAACGATCGAAGAAATCAGGATGGCTATCAGATAAATGAAGAGTGGGAAGGCAGTAGGACCTGACAACATACCAAACAAATCACTGAAGTCAGATATAGAAGTAACTGCAAAACTGCTCCACATTGTATTGAGGAAGATTTGTGAGGAGGAACAAGTGCCAATGACAAACTGTAAAGAAGGACACCTCATCAGAGTACTAAAGAAAGATTTAAGTAAATGTGAGAAGTAATTACAGAGACATCACACTACTATCAGTATCAGGAATAGTTTTCAACAGTGTTACTAAACCGGATGAAATATAAAGTAGATGCCCAACTTCGAGATCAAAAGGCTGGATTCCGTAAGAATCAATTGTGCACAGACGGAATCGCCACACTATGGATAATTGTTGAACGAATGGAACTCGTCACTATACATCAACTTCGTTGACTATCAGAATGCATTCGACAGTGTGGATAGGAGAACTTCATGGAAACTTTATCAACACTATGATGTGCTTGAGAAGATCGTCAATATATTACGGAATTCATACGTTGGACCACACTGCAAAGTGATGCATAGAAGACAACTGACAGACAAGTTCGAAGTAAAGACCGGAATCAGACAAGACTGCCTACTCTCTCCCTTACTCTTTCTTCTGACAGTTGAATGGATTATGAGAACCTTGATATCTTAGAGGGAACATGAAACACAATGGATAACTCTGAATCCATTAGAAGATTCGGACTTCACAAATGATCTGGGATAACAGGAGTACGTCAGCAAGTTAAATCTAAATCTTTTATATTTTACAGAAATTGGTTTCTTGAGTGCAAAATCTTATCTTCAGTTTATTAGGTAGGCTTTTGGTTCGGATCAAGTTCCTTTCAGTTATAATCTCATATTCATTCACATAAAATTGAAGGCTCAATCCTTAGTAAATTATTCTCTACTCGATCATTCAATGAGGATAGATTTAAGATTAAAAACATCTAATCTCATTCTAACTTTATGAAAACTAACTAATGATGAACTTTTCCCCATAAAATTCTTTTTCGTTTAAACTATTTCTCTTATATGACTTCTTTATTCATGTAAAGGTCAGAAGAAGAAGAACAAGAAGAAGAAGAAGAAGAAGTGATTTCTTTAGCCAAAAAATTTCTTTATAACACCCATGGATAACTGAACTTAAGATAAGAATCATTTAAAATGTAACCAGAAAGTAAATATTATGAATAACAATTAGTTATCATTTATTGTTTTTAAATGAACCTATTTGTCATCCATAATGAAAATTGTAGACATTTATTATCACTATGGTAACGAGATTTACCTTATTTATTTTGTTTTATTTTTTCTAACTTATAATTACAATGGATTTGCATATTTTTTCAGAAGAAATAATTTAGGGTGGAGCATTTTTTTCGTTGGTTAGAAAGCATGAAATGTCCCGATTCTTAACAGGTTCCTTTAATGATAATAATAATAATAATAATAATAATAATAATAATAATAATAATAATAATGAACAGTTATTCATTTTTAATAGATTTGGGACATTTTAGCCCAATAAATATTAGATTGGATAAATGTGTGAACCATATATATATATAGTTGAGATCATGAATCCATTGAAGCTAGACCACCATGGAAAATCTGAAAGCACTGGACGGCCGTTTTGTCCTATTGTGAAATAGTAACTCACTGAAGACAATGGTGGATGTGTCACACAGTTTCGTGGATTAGTTAAAGTTAAACATTAATACCATTGGTTAACGGCCAGCTCAGTGATCTAAAAGTTAAGCGTTCACGCGTGAGACCGATAAATCCTGGATTCAAATCTCGAGAGTCGGAATTGTGGATGCGCACTGATGAGGAGTCCCATTCTAGGACGAAACAGCTGTCCAGTTGTAAGATGTAAGATTGTGATTCAGTAATTGACTAATGAAATTTAATCCATAATGTTATATGATACTCTATTGACTGAAATGATTGAGGATAATACAAATACCAATGACATGGTTGTTTACATTGATTGTAGATATTACAGAAAGTTATATGACAATAAATTGAACATTCAAAAAAAATCATTGTTTACAGCAATCATATAAGCAATTACTAATGATGTTATTAGTTTAGAATTATATATTACGTACTATTATTTATTCTAACTTTGTCAATAAGATTGAATGTAGCGATCACATGTTTAATGGTGATATCAATAGGTGGTATTTTCAAATCGATTGCAGAGATCAGTGAATATCTGAATTTATAAGCAAAGACGGATAGTGGAATCGAGCACGTGCGTTTCTTCCTATTTTGGACTCATCAGCTAGATGTACCTGCATCTCAGAGTTGTTGATGTTCACTTCAGGACTCGAACTCAGTACCGTTCGCTTCAAACGCCATCACGTTATCCACTTACTCCCAAATAGAACGAAACGTGCATTATACTGGATTTCACTACTAGCCATCATCCATCTTTTCTTATAATACTTATGAAATAAAACAATATCGAGGCAATACGCACGGTATACATATATGCCAATAAGAGATTGATTAATTGCAGTCGTAAACACCAATGGGAAAATTCAAGTAAACAATGCGAATTGAACAATACCAAGCATAAAAAGTTTACTATATAAAACCAAATGACTATTTTACACACTAATTTCTATGGATAACTTAAATAGTTGTATTAATGCTAATAGCTTCCATAACAGTTCAGAGAGAAATAACTACAAAGAACTCAAGAATGTTTCTGCTCTCAAATGGCAAGCGATAACAAAAACAAATCGTTAGTCATTGAATTGTACCTCTAAATATCAAGCCATTGGATTTATTAAATTCCTAGTTAGTCTGTTATTCTTTATTATAGCTGTTGGAGATGTCAGATCCTCAGAACTCATTTGGTAAATGCCTTATTTTTGTAATTCTATTTTAAACATTTGAAGTCCTTGTTTTCGCGCCAAGAGTGCTGATTTTCACCTTCATGTCCTATTTCCCATTTTGGAGGAACTTAAATGCTATTGGTTTATTATCACTTTTAGTATGCTATTTATGCTGTATACATATGCTTGATTTTTGCTTATAGATGTTATTCGTGCTTCAGACTGCTTGTGGAATATATTTCCCTCTACCGAACTTGGATTTCTCTCTTTTGTTAGGTTGGTTGGGACGGGTCGGAATAGTTAGTTAATTGGTAATTTGTGTCATAAAGTCTTCACTCCATTCTCAGATTAGGTGAACTCATAGTCTCTTCAAACATAGAAGTAGCATAGTTTTTAAATGACAAGATAAAAAAGATTGATGGTTACAGAGAATAAATATGAAGAGAAAACTTAAATAACAGATTACTAGACAAGTAATACCTCTCAATCTCATTAATGACGTATTTATATTAATTCAATAGATGAAACTATGTAACGTAAATTCAGAAGTAACAGTTTTATACCCATTACCACCTACATCATTTAATTGTTAGTCAATTTACTTATACACATTGTTAGATTCCCTAAGACACCCAGTGATCAATCAATTGTGATTACATCTCAGTCCTACAGGAGGTTAGTCACGGCTCGGATAGCTCAATGGTAACGACTCTGACTGTGAAGCTGGGTGACACGAGATCGAATCCGTCAGGGAGCGCCAGTTCCTTCAAAGATTACAGGTACACCTTGCTAACGAGTGTCAAGTAGCACGAAATTCGGGTCCAGGGTTTCCTGTCGACTACCTCCAACCATCATCTAATCACAATAAGAAACTGTTTATAGTTAAATAGTCATTTATCGCACTGATGTGAAAACGCGATATGTAATTAAAGTTGACCAAAAGTTAATTTTATAATATATGGATATACAGAATTGGATAACAAGGAGAATATGTGTCTTCTCAAATTTTCAGATACGTATTATTGGATCGCTCGAACCAGCCAAAAACTAAGTCTTCGAGTTTTCTTAGAAATTCAATAATAGATAAAATTAATTCATAAATGTAGGCTTTTTGTCATTATGAGTAGTTATACAGAAACTTGTCAACTATGTAAAGTATAGAATGATTAATGCATTATTTAGCTTTGTTTGAAATATATCCCAGAAGATTTGGATTAATGTAGAATTAGATATAAACAAGTCATATGAACAATATTGTAAAAAGTAAACAAACAAAAGAACATTCATATCTAAGAAACCATCATGAAAACTGTGATACATATTAAAGCGTAAATATTATAGAATATATTTGGAAGATGCAATGAATTAGCATTAGAACAAATAAAATAGCTTCCACTAAATCCCATATCTATAAAGCTTGAATGTTTACGAAATACTTTACGATGATTTGTAGCTTGTTTTGTTTTGGATTTATTTCGTGTTTCAAATGATAATGATGATAATGATGAATTGGTACTTGTTTCATTAGAGAAGATCTTTGACACATTGAAAGCATTCAAAGAATCACTATCTTCTTGAATATGTTCCGGTAGTTCAATTGATTCTTCTTCTTCTTCTTCTTCAATTTGTTCTTCTTTAATGAATTTATTTGAAAAATGACTTCTTGTATAGATATTATTATTACTTAAAACGAATAATCTCTTATATTCATTATGATTTGTATGAACAATACTATGCATAGTTTTAATTATCAATAAATGAATTAATATTATATTCCAAATCATTTAGAAATGAATAATTCAATTTCTGAAATTTGAAATTCCCGCAAAATTCTATGGATGTTCAATTGTCAATATTCAACAATTCAATGTATAACATGTTGTTGATTGTCATAGAATTTGTTTATTCATATTTTATACAAGTAAACATGATCTTATTACTATTAATAATTGAAGTGTATTAATATTAATAATAATGATGATGATAATAAGGCATCTTTTTTTTAATCATTTATCATTTCATTGTTGATCATTAGATGTAAATTACATCATATAAACCTTTAAATGATAAATGTTAATGTATATTTAATTATTCAATGTACTTGGACAATACCACTACTACCAATACTACTACTACTACTACTAATAATAATAATAATAATAATAATAATAATAATAATAATGGGGTAGCTGATATAGTACAATGAATACAAATAACTTATTAGCTACATCTTCATAATTGTAAATTATAACTGATAAATGATGAATAGAATATTCTTATAAGTTCATGTGATGTATTGGTGAGTTTAGTAAAAACAACATCGAATAAACATTTAAATGACGTAATATGTGACATTATAAAATAATGTTAAGTTGTTTTCATGAATTGATTATTATTATTATTATTAAATCTAACTGTATATTGGAGCAAAGATTGGACTGGGTAGTAGATTCGAGTCCCAGAGTGAACATCAACTCTAGAAGTCAGGTACATCCAGTTGACCAGTCTCAAATGGGTGGAAACGCGCATCAAACTGATTTCCACTGCTAGTCACCATCCATCTTTGCTTATAATGCCATATCGAGGTAATCCGCATAGAATGCACATATCAGTCAGTCAGTCAGCTACAACGTAGGACCAGGCACATATATGCACCGGTCTAAGTTGCCATACCTCATTAACACTACAAGATGGACACCGGACTCATAAATGTAGTTAATTCAGAGGTGGTAATATATAAAAGAAAGATTGTGTATAAGGATATAGTACAGGAAGAAAGAATTAGTTGGTAGAAAGAAAGATATAAAACGATTTTAATCTCTTTGTTTAAGGGAAGGCAGAGAGTATATACACCGACGCCATTGTGATCAATTCTAAGCCATTTCACCAACAGTCTACAACCATTGGTTACCAACCAACCCCAACCAAGTAGTTTGCATCTACCAAGATGGCTCAAACTAGAAGTTAGTGACTTCAAGCACTGATACCACGATTTGGTTTGGCCGCCCCTAACTTTCTTCCAACCATCCCGAACACCGGTTACCATTGGGTGCTTTCCTCAATATGTGTTCTATCCACTTCCAGCACTTCTTCCTGATTTTTCCTCCATAGGAATCTGATTTGTTCTCTCCCATAGTAGGTTGTTGCTGTTGGTGACCAATAAGAGACTGATTAGTTTCAGTTCTAAACATCAATGGGAAGATTCAAGTAAAAACAATACCAAGTGAATTTATTACTATTATTATCAGTGATACATTATATTAGACGCATTAAACTATTCATTTTATTATGATAATAAACATGACAGTTCAAATATTCATATACAATAATGAAGTTATATCTATAATGGTATTGGGACAAATAGTTATTCAACAACCTTAAATGAGGTGATCATCAATAAATATGCGGTCATATGTCATCTCATATAAAGTGATTAGATTCACAATTCATTGTTCCTATTCGAAAATATATCATATGAATAATGTCAAAAGTTAAATGATACCTGATTGTATAATAAGACCTAACTATAACTCTCATATGTTCTGATCAATATCAAGAGCCTGAAAATGGTCTTTGAATAGTTAAATAGCATAGATAATTATCCTGAAATTGTTTACTTAATTCATTGATCCCTTGGATTTATATGAATATATATAAATCCTCTGTGAGAACGACGAAAGTCATCATCCAGAAGATACAAGTGTTTATTAAGAGTTGCCTATGCAAAATACTTGGGATCCGTTCACCAGACACTATCAGCAACAACGTACTGTGGGAGACAACAAACCAGATTCCAGTGGAGGAAGAAATCAGCAAGAAGTTTTGGAAGTGGATAGGATACATATTAAGGAAAGCACCCAATTGAGTCACAAGACAAGTCCTCACATGGAATCCTCGAGGTCAAAGGAAAAGAGGAAGACCAAAGGACATATTATACTGAGAAATGGAGACAAACATGAGAAGAATGAACAACAATTGAATATAACTAGAAAGTAAGTCCCAGGACGGTGTGGGTTGTAGAATGCTGACCGGCAGCCTATACTCCATTGGGGGTTGTTGCGGTGATCCAGAAAACTTCTCGCAAAAGACAAGAAATGATCAGGAAAACACTTAGAGGGATTTTATCCAATCAGCGTGCACTTGAAGTTTAGCCAGAAACATCAAGAAAGTGAAAAGTCACATGTAGAGTTTCTTATTCGCTGATTACTTTACTGCTGCTATGTTTAGTAGCATTCCAGAATTTTCGGGAAACCCAAAGACATCTAAAACTATAAAAACCCTATATTTTCTGTACTAAAACGAACCTTTGGAGTAAAGTACTTCTCGCATATTTTGCGCCGTTTCTCTCGTGTTCAGGTCTCTGTGTAATTCTAGTTTGGGAGTTGCGAAGATAGCTTAGAAACCGAATATAGCGTTCAATTGGCAACACTTATCAGGGGTAACAGGCGTAAGTAATATCCTCTGTATCTGGGTCAATTACACGTCAACTAGCGTCATGATAAGAAACCTAATCAAAAAACCAAACGCGCCACGAATGACATTCTATGTATGATAAATACTCTCAAACATTGATTATTGAGTAATAGTTAATGACATATCTTCTGGTCTTTAGAGCTCATAAACACTTGGACTTTTGCTTTCACTCACAGACGATAGACATGAAGCTATAGATGATATATATGATCCTTACTTCATCTCTACATCATTTAACATTGAGTGATGCTACGATTTATAAACATTTCATCAGATATCTTAATTTGTTTACTTTGATTTTTAATGATTAGATTGATTGAAAAGCGAACAGTAAACACATTATCATTTAGCCTATCAATGAACATTGGTATTGTAAGTTAAATAAGATAAGTTTTAAAGATAAGACAATCACTATCAATAGAAATTACTCGTTATAGCTCTACAAAGTTAGACCGTATTCAAGCATTCCATTAGTAGCAGAATAAGAAGAATAGTAAAATATGTCGGTCCAGTGAAACGTCAATGGATGCTAGTCAAAACATCCGGCAAGTAGGTCACTGAATGTCAGACAATTTGCCTATCTTCGTCAATGTGAAGAACAACCAAATCGCACCAATTAATTCTACGCCATGTGCATGTGGCAGTGCTTGCACTCTGATTCTCCTACGAATTCTTACTAATACATTTTTGTAATAACATTACTCTCGTTCCATACGGTCATCAAAATAACCACAATACCTGGATACGTTAATCACTAACCATGAAGTGTGACTTCATTGTAAGTTGAGTGGCTACACCATTCTCGTCTAATTGGAGTAGGAGAGCGACCATTGACAGAGGTCACCTGTGTTGGTGATCTACAAATTTTATAGAAATAAAATAATCGTTTATTTCCTCGGCAATAAACTTGACGAATGAATTTCAGTGTTATAGAAATGACTGATGTAGCCTTGATTTTTAAATAATTTCTGTTATGATTCATTAGATAAATGTTCAAAATGTGGTGATCCGTTTAATACTTCTGTTAAAAACGCTTCTACAATATCATGTGGTCTGCTAAACTGCTTGTGTAGAATACTAATTGCTTTAGTGTAACTTACTTCTTCTGGTAGTAAAACACAGTGTTCTATAGCATCTTTTGCTATACCTTCACAATAGTGTATCAAGTACATCAATCGCTCAGTATCATCGTTTACTCTGTCAGTGACGTTAGCCTTGAATCTCTTCATAAACGTCCAAAACTTTGGAGGACTTCCGTCGAATTTCATGATCTCTATCTTCGGTAGGCTTGCCGTCATGGATGGCGACTTGACGCATCTACGTGTGCTTTAAGTTCCAACCCGTATTTTATGGATATGTTGGTACATTGGTGCCTATCCGTAGGTACGGGAGTTGTGTCTTCGGATCGAGACCTAAATAAGTCGTTAATCTCCCTCGGTTTTCCCACTTTGTTTAAAGGTTTTGGTGTTAATTCTAACAATCGCTAACGAAGTTGAAGCTCTCGAATCTCTAACTCAATCTCTTCTACCTCTTTTTCCCTAAAACCTGCCTCATCTTCTATTCTACATCCGGTCACTACATAGGTATCTACTGAAGGACAGCTATCTTTGGGGTTTGGTTTAACATTATCAAAAGTAAGATTTAAAGAAGCATGTGAGTTCACCTTAGAAACTGAAAGAACAGTATTTTCAGTGCTTGACTCGTCTGTATCTTTAGAACTGTTGACATTGTACTTCATTTTTCTCGTCCTTGTCATTGTTGGGTCAAATTAACCGAACCAAATTCCTACCAGAGTTCGTTACAGAGAGTGTCCACACCAATTCGGACCAAAGTTGAGAACTGTTATTGTAAACAAATCGTTGTTTTGGAAACTTCGGTTTTGCGCGTATCTCAATTGGGTAACTTGGACGCTTTGATAGATCTAACATAATGAGAAGAATAGGGATACACAGTGTATGAATAAATACAGTTAAGATCAATGTGCATTTATATGTTGGGAAGCAATAATTCAAAGGTTATGTAAAGATAATGAAATTAATAAATGATTGAATAATCATTCAACATGAACAAATATGTGAATTTCAGTCAGATTACACAAGAGGTGTATATTGTAAGACGAAACAATACTTACTTTAACTATGCCTGTTACCCATCGTGAAGGAGCATAGGCTGTCTCCCAGCATTCTCCATCCAACTATGTCCTGGACAATTTTTTCCGATTCTTTCCAATTGTTATACGTTCTTTTCATGTCTGCTCCCAATTCCTCACACAGTATGTTCTTTGTCTTTCCTCTTTTCTGTTTCCCGTCAG